TTCTATGTCTTCAGTGGATGTGTATTTAGACTTTGATTCAAGCACCGCTCCTTCCAGACTGCCAGCTCACTCTTTGCCTGACATAATGGAGTGACCTTGTCAGCCCCACCCCAATGAACAAAACATGCTACCGGCAGCTAGTCTTACCATTCTCAGCTTCTGAGCAAGTGCCTGTACTTGCGAACTGTTAGTCTTCTTGCTCTTCGTTGGCTGATTTCAGCAGTTCAACCTTTTCAAGCAACTCATTCTGCGAGGAAAAAAAAAAAAAAAAAAAAAAGGGCTTTGAGAAGAGATAATGAAAAAGGGGGCTACAGGTGGTGGTTGTACCAGTACCTTCTCATTGCGTAGTCTTTTGGCAAGACTGCGCATTTGTATGAGAGTGTTCTCATGGTGTAATAACCTCTTATTCACCAGCTCCATCTCTTTTTGGTGAGCGTGACACTTCCAGTGCAGACTTTAGTTGATCTGTAACACCGCATTGAGGGTGAGGGCAGATTTAGCTTAACGCTGCTAGCTGCTTGCTTAACGTACCTGCTTCTTTTTCAATGTCGAGGTCTGAACCTCCATTTCGTTTTGATAAACGCGGCACTCATCCAGTTCGCACTTGAGTTGCTCTGTAACATGACAATATGAGTGAGGGCACATTTAGCCTAACGCTGCAGTCTGCTTGCTTAACGTACCTGTTTTTTTTTTCAATGTCGAGGTCTGCAACTCCAGCTCTGAAATTTTCCTCTTCATTGATGCTGCTTTCTCATCCATCTCAAGCTTGGTGTCTTGATGGAATTTGAGGTCTTGAAGGATAGATGTGCATGCAGTTTGTGTGCTCAGCCTTGGCCGTTTCAAGCTCTGCGTCCTTCGATGCAACCTTCTGTTCCAGCATGGCATTGCAGAGCTCCAACTCAGGAAACCTCGTCTGCAAGTCCGCCAACTCCTTTTCTGATCCAAGCTTCGCCTCTTCATGGCATTTAAGGTCTTGTATCATTGATGAGACCATATTTTCATGTTCAGCCTTAAGCCTCTCAAGTTCGGCTTCCTGCGATGAGAGGTTGTGCTTGAGCCTCACGTTACAAAGCTCCATCTCAGAAAAGGTTGTCTGCATCGATGCTGCTTTCTGCTGAAATTCTTGTACTGCTTCTTCGTGTTGCTTCAGGCATTGACTCATGGATGAGGCCAGCGACGAATGTTCAGCATTCAGCCTCTCGACCTCAGATTCTCGTGAAGAAAGGGTTGATTCGAGGAGCATAATTTGCCGTTGGCAGATGTTTAGTGACTTCTTTAGCTCCTGGTTTTGATTCTTTAGAGAAGAAAGCTCCATTTTCTGAAAAGTGACGGGGTTAGTTGTGGCCCATGGAAGAGAATGACAAACGGTTGGCTGGCAGGGTGAGTAAGTAACTAGCCTGGTGGTGAGCGGATCTGGAAAGATCTTGAAGTCGCTTAACCAGTTGTGCTGCATGAAAGAACGGACAACTGTTACTGGCACGGACTTCAATACCTTGTCTGGTAAAAAAAGGTTCGTACCTTTTTCAGCGGTTGCCTTAGACATGTAAGAGGAAGTCCAAAAAATCAATTACAGCCCTACATTCTTCAATGCAACCATCAAGGTCGCTGTTTGCCTTAATGAGTGATCGATTATGCAATGTCGAATGAGCAAGCTCGTCCATTAGCTTGTTCTTTTCCGTTAAGAGATCTTTTGTTACAATGTCTCGCCGCCTCCTTTCCTCGTGTAGTTCATGACTGAGTTTTTCAGCGATACCTTTCCAGTATTTCTCTACGCAGGCAAATCAGGAACATGAGTGGCACGAAAAGTTAACAGAAGAAAGTCCGTACCTCGAAATTACTTACTGGACCTTGCTTCTTTTTGTAAGGCCTTCAAGAATTGCAAACCAAGAAACAGAAACTGTTTCTTGCTGAGTTGTATGTTAGGTGACGTCTCCGCAGGCGCAACAATGAAGCCGAATGGCGTTTCCCGTGACGCAATAATTGCGTAATTCTGGTGTTGAAAATCCCATTGCCGCCAAGGTGTGCGCATATCCACTTGAATCTCCAACGCTTTATGTGTCACCTGTGTATCATCGGTTGTCACGGAAAAGCTGAGCTTAGAAGGAATTTTAGACAGGTGAGTGTCCTGGACATCTTGGTGTTTGATAAGGTCTACGGGTTGAGGGCCACAAAGTAAGGCGTCGAGATTCGATTGGGAGAGACTTCCAGAAAAGCGTAAGCTTGACTCGGAGCTCGCATACGGAAGTTCTTCTATGCTATCTTTGTCTTCTGCGATGAATAAAACGCGTCCCCCACTTCCGTCATTGTGTGCATCGAGACCAGTAAAAACGACGCGAGAGTAAGTCTCAGCTGTAGTATCCACCCCTGCGTGCCCTTGTGCATTGCCCATAGCTGCGTCAGTGGCAAGACAACAGAACACACCCGCGATGGACACTGCTATGGTTCATCTCAAACTAGTAAGGTCATTCGCTGCCTGAACGGCTTCGCAGTGATCGATGTTGAAATATGAAGGCCCTATATCGAGACAACTACAAAAGGTGAATCACGATTCACAATACCTACATTGATGCCTTACATTGAAGTTTTGCATGCTGGACCTTAACTAGATACATAGACACATACAATAGCTGGGATTTGTTTCGAATTAGTATCAATCTATCCTTATGTATCCTTATTAAGTTCAACGAACTGTGAAATGCATTATCAGTTGAAATGTACAGATTTCATTAGGCATGTAATTTTCTAATACAGATAATTTAGTCTAAATGCATTAACACTAAATTATTTTAATATTTATAGTCTTTTGACGCCTTTTCTGAATGTTATTAAATATTTTTTTAGTTGGTATGGGTGGGTAGGCTGTTAGCATGATTGGTATAGCTTGTTTCTATTCAGTGTTGCGGTGGGTAACCAATTGAGTTACTAACGAAGAAGCACCTCCGACGAATTTTCATCCTTGGAGATCCCACGCGAAGGCACAACGGCTACCTTCGCGAATTTCAGTTCCCGCCAAAAGACATCACCCATTCTCACATGCTTTGTTGACGAGCGATGCACTACAAAGGCCTGTTTCCTCACAAGCTTTGGTATGCTGGTCTGAATGGAATCTGTTTTCAAGCTGCAGAGGCATCATCCGTGCTCTGCAATGGAATCGTCGATTCCATGGGGCAAAATTATGGAAAAGCTTGACGGTCGAGATATTATGTCCCTAGCATTATGCAATAAGTCATTTCTATCTATTGCCATGGAAGAATACACATGGAAGACTCGCTGTCTACAGGAGCTGGGCTGCAATGCACCCTCTAATAAGCCCCAATTTGGTTGGCTGGACATCTACAAAAGCATTATAGGTACTACATTTCTTGTTTACTCTGGATATCTAGCGTGCAATGTCTGAACCCTATTATCTGGTTTACAGACGGCAGTCACACTTACAGCTCAAGACAATCCGACAAACACATTGGTAAGTGACGGCACAAGGATTTCCTGCTTGATTTTCGCGGCAGCCGTATTTACTTCGTCTTCCAGATTGGATGAGAATTGGAGCATTTTCGGTCACCAGCGGCAGAGTCGTAGCGACCGACACACTTCAAAAAGCAGCTGGATTCCAGCGGGAGGGAGACTCAGAGGTCAGACTCGCATCACTAGGTAGTTTATCAGTTCGTGTTGTTGAAACTTACGCCAGGCGTGGTTTCAGTGCAATGAAGACTGCGGCTTGATGGCTTCCTGGACAATTGACGGCGTCCAGAATGGAATATGGATTGCAGGTAGATTGCTGTTTTTTTTTGGCTAAATCTATATGCTGACACAGTCCTAACACAACACTGTTGCTTCGTACAGATCTCCACCTTGTCCGCTGTCCTGTTTGCAGCCTCAAAACGTGTGAAGGTAAGACGATTCGGCTTCAACTTCTGTTTTGTTGAACACGGACCTATACAACAACGCTTTTCCCTGCACAGGCACCATGCAAACACTTGACGCAAGGCATTATGAGTTGTTTTTACATGATGAATGGAAATGTGGGGAGTGGAAATACGAGCAGCTAGCCTCACACGAAGCGCCGTTTCACTGTCCCCAAGCTGCTGGTGGACTTTTTGATGCAGGAACCATTGGCCGTCAAGAGCTAAAAGGTAAGCGCAACTCCATTACTGGCCAGATGTTGGATTGTACCGTAATTGCTGACTGTATCCTGGATAGATATTTTGAACATAAGCAAATGGGTCGCCCCAAATGGAGACTGGCAACCAAGGTACTCATGCCACTGACTTTCTTGTTTGCTGTTGGGGGGGCGGAATGGTCTAAACTCTTCCTCCCTTTCAGGAGCATAGCACGGTCCCATGCAGTTGCTGCCAGCACCAACTTGCAGCCCAATGAAGGTATGTTTAAAAGCCTCGTTACTCTCCTAGAGCTCCTGCTTCTAAGTCTCATGAGATTCATCTACAGGACTGAAAGTGAGATGCGAAGTTCTCAAAGGAACTGGAGGGCGAATTTCTGGAATAAGAGTTTCGCAACAATTACTGTAACATGCGGCAACCAAGTCAGACAGAGATGAGTCTTCCGTATATCCAGAGGAGGCTGAAAGTGCCAAAAAGGGCCTGGACAAGTGGGTCAATCAGATCAATCTACACTACCCAACTGCAGCATTGAACATGCAAATTGTTGTCAATTTACATATTGGAACCGATCGATAACTACTTCTGCTGCAATTTTGCTGGGAGTGAGTGCTTCCCTGGAGTCAGGAGAATGTGCATCAGTGCTGTTCAGGGGCTCTTGCAAAGCATTGAAGAGCAGATGAGCAGTGGCGCACTGGTCAGCCTTGCAGCTGTCAAAATTTTCCATTAAATCCCTGGGCGAATAAACAAGGCATCCGCAGTGACGGACTTTCATCAACACAATAACAGAACACAAGCTTGTCACATAAGGTGCCATAACATGCTTAGAACAGCTGTGGTCCCATTCTGCAAGATGGGTAAAGATATACACCATGATCCCACACATACCTGATAACAGATGACAGCCTGTGTGAGGTACACTCAGAAAATAGGACCTCAGGAAGTGAAGGTTTGTTAAGGAGAATATTCGGCAGTGATGCAAACTGAATAGAAGTCCTGTCATGCAGACAAAAGCAGTCCAAACTGATGGAGTGGATGGAAAATACCAGTCACATTGCATCATAATTTATGGATCTAGCCCCTTACCAACTACTGCGCAGCCAAAATATATCAAGAAACACATTACATACCATTTCTTGACAATGAATTGAGTAATCCAGTGGGCCTTATACGTCACAACCAGGGGTAATTGCGAGCGAAGCACCTCAAGCACCACGGAACCAGAAACACAGAGAGCAAGATCACATGCCTGCACGCAAAAACATGTTTATGACAGGATTAAGGCACAGGGGACCACCACTATCAGTGAGTTCAAATGGTAAGCACGACAACATGAAATAGGGATGGAACTGGATGAGGAATGAAGTCTCAGAATCTTACAGCAAGTGCATCGGTATGCGGTCCAGTCTTGAACATTTTGCTTTTGCTTGTTCTGTCCGCACAAGTGTTGCCCTCCGGTGCAGGAACCACTACTACAGCTGCAACGTCAACCATTAAATCAGAATCCATAGATTGAGATAAACTGAATGGAAACCTCCAGCTGGAGCTCTTGTTTTTTAACGAATCAAGCCAAGAATGAAGAATTTCTCGGATAAGGACAGTCACTTCTGAAGCGCGTGGAAGGGTTGGAATAACCAGTGACAGTTTGCCACCTGGCCCTTGGGAATCCAAATAATCCCTGAGCCACTTTGATGCAGTCAATATCTCAACACTTTGAAGGAATATAGGCAGCATCCTGGATACTTCTTGTATGCGGCTTCCTGGAAGCAGGCAGATGGTTATGTGTTGGGGCCCAGCTGAGAAAGGCCAAAACATACAGAATCAAATTCAGTTGAGTGCATACTTAATCAACTTCCGAATCAGATTCAGAAAACAAGCAAACAGCCCCTTGAACATTGCAAGTTCACATGCTCATTGCACAAAACCTTACCTGGAATGCCGTGTTGCTGCCGGAAAGCTCTTCCATCCCCACTCGCCCTCCACCATGGTCCATCCGCCAAATTATTACCCCGATCTCTTCGCAATCCTTCCTCTCCTGGCTCTCCTGCTTCTCTAGTTTCTCCACTCCCACCTTCCCCTCTCCACTCCCCAACAACTTTTCTCCCTCCTTCCCCACTCTGCCTGGTACTCTGATCCTCAGCTATGGTCTCAAGAACCGGATGCCCCACATACGTTGCTGGAATGCCATGCTGCTGACACAAGGCAGGCTCATGAGGCAGAATGCACAGCAGATGGTCCATCAACGGTGAGAGATTCTGCTTGGGTAGAGTTGAGGGAGACATGCAGGTGGGAGAAATGGGCGGAGGAGGGAGCTTCTGGGAAAATGCGGAAATGCACAGAACATGGAGGAAAGTGCAGTGGGGGAACGGATTGGTCTACACTTCACACTTGAACACATGTGCACTTCATTACAAGCACACTTGACATACTCGTAATCTGCGCTCCCCTCCCTTGACTGCCCAAAAGGACGGCGCCACGTAATGCACACAGAGCGGAGCCTCCTTGTCTTGCCTACGCAACTTGTCCTTACCTGCAGCGCGCACACAAAAACACGAAAAGACCATACACTTCAGCGTGATAACGGTCTAGCTAACTTAGATCAAACCACGACTGTCTGAAAGCCCTGATCTATGTCTCCTCTCCTGAAAGCGCAGGATCAACAGAAGTCAACCAAGCACAAAGTCTTGACTTCAATCGGGGATTTAGCTGGTGAGAGTTGAATGAAGCCAGAGGAGTTGATGGCAGTGACAATGTCTTTGGAGTCAATGAAAGAGTCCACAAAGATTACCATTTGAGTTTCAGTCAACTCAAAAGTCAACAAAGGTTAACCCAATTTTCCTGTCGACTGAAAAATCAGCAGAGGTGAATCCAGTGCAGGACCTGACCTCGGATAATCTTTAGCAAGCGGAAGTTAAAGCCTTTGGAATCGATGGTGACGACAATGTGTGGCTGAAATTGCTCCACGTGCCGGACAGCCTGGCGCAGGCGATACTGGGACGGGGGAAGGGGTTGGGGGAGAAAAATTCACTGTACCCCTACGAATGTGACCATCTACTCCACAAAACAGGTCACGCGAGTGAAAAAGAACATACTTCGTGACCATTTGACAAGAAAGAAACCGCACACGAGCACAAATACTGATACAGAAAAGCCACTAAATGGGAGCGAGGGGTGTACCCATAAGAGCGGAATGCGAGGGATGAGTTCAACGAAGCCCATGACTGAAAGGTCTGTCATTGGGAAGACAGACTTGAGGCCCTGCGATGCCATCCAGGGGCTGTGGGTTTGGTGGGGGGGGGGGGGGGGGGGATGTGTGTGGAGGGAGGATGTGTGGGTTGACTGTCATGAAGCCCATGATTGAAAGGTCCATCATTGGGAAGAGAGAGCTGAGGCCCTGCGATGCCATCCAGGGGCTGGTGGTGGTGGTGGGGAGGTGGTTGGTACAGGATGCGTGTGGAATATGTGTGGGGGGAGGAGAGATGAGTTGGTTTTCATGAAGCCCATAAGGTGTGGTGGTGGGAGTGGGCAAGGGGGTGATGCGGTTGTTGTGAGCTGGCACTCATAAAGCCCATCATTGAAAGTTTAGTCGTTATGTTTTCATGCACCACTCACTCACTCACTCACTTGCTCACTACATGCACCGCACACTCACCCTCCAACACCTTGAAACTCAACAGCCCCTGAACGTCCTTCCTGGAAGCTTCCTTCCTCCACCTGCTCCCAGATATCCCCTTTCCGCCCATCAACCTCGTCTCTTAAAGCCGTCATTAATCTGCACCCTAGCGCGTCCCCTGAAGGCTCGCCAGCAACAATGAACACTCGCAGCGCCTCGTTGGGTTTTAAGGGACGCCGTGCAGCTGGCTTCATGGGATCTTTGACTGGGTTTGAAGGGTGAGATGACGTGGCACCCTTCTCAGGCGTGGAATCTTCAAATGACGTGGTGGAGTATCTGGCTGAGGTGGCAAAACCCAGGTCAGGCAAGAGATAAACGTGTCCAATGGTAATCCTGGCGCTGATTTTCTTGAAAAGGTGGACAGCCGCTGTGGCGTGACTTAAAGAGGAGGTGCCATAAGCGAGTGTAGCTCTAGCAGCTGGAGCCTTGGTGTGTTCCAGGGTGCTTCTAGAGCTTCTCAACGAAGGAGTCAACATTCCAGATTTCGCCATATTTCTCCTGAAATTCGCCGATCCAGTGCTCAAGAGGCTTGCTGGAGCAGCTGGCAACAATGACCGTTGATGCGCTTCAAGACCTGGCGACATTGGTCCACTTCCGAAACGGATTCCGCGTCCCTTCGCATCCCTGGGAGCTGCTGCTGCTGATGTCGCTGACAAAGTAAAATTAGAGACTAAATCTCCTTGTGGAGCGCGTCTGCCTGCTGAAAGAACGGTAGGGATGACGACCTTCGAGTTGACATCACAGGTGGCTCTGGAAACAGCAGAAAGTTCTCGTGGAACGTAGCATTTGAGCGATTGACGCAGCTTCGATGCACATAAAAAGCGCCTGCTTCTAGACGCCATGATTGTTCTCCTGACCTCGTCGGTCACAACCACGTCTTGCCCATGCAGATGATATGCGTCAGCGTACGATTCGACCCGAGCCTAACTGCGCAGTCGCATCAGTTATGCCTGAACGACGAAGTACTGGGCTCAGAAAATAGCTAGTGAAGGTCGCGCACAGAGTGGAAACTGTTACCCCTCAGAAAATTTGCTCTTTCAAATGGTTGGGGAAAATGTGTTGCGAGACTTGCAAACGGATAATTGGCGATTTCGCGAACTGTGACGATGCCTATTGCTGGTGCTTCGGGTGTCAAATCCAAGTGCGATCACGGTGGCTGGCGGGCAAACGGTGTTCGTAGATAAGCAATGTTTCGAGTGCAATCAACGGTTCACATAGCTCACGAATCTTGTTTGTCCAATCAAGCGCATCACCTAAATTCGCAACAGCCAGCACATAAATAGCTTCATGCAACCGCGCATCACCGACTGGAAACCAATTGAACCAGGCCGAAACCTGGCATATCTCTTTGATACTTCAATTCCCTGAAGCGTTCAGCTCCTAATCACAACATTTTCAGGAATTTAGCCATGGCTGCCACGTCGCTCAGCTGGTCGAATCGCGTGCTCTCAGGCCCCGCTTCGCGAGAGGCAGGGTCGCTTGCTTCTCACAAGTTCCCAAGCAAGAGCTCAGCATCGAGTCGCGTGGTACCGGTTCAATCTCGAAATACTTCGAGGAGGTCCGTACTTCAAGTCGAAGCGCGTGCCATTCTAGACTTCTTCACCAAGCGAGGCGCCCCGGAAAGCGACTCTGGAGAGTTTCGAGAAGGATGGGCGTATGCTCCGTGGGAAAGGGTAATCCATTGTCTTTTTTGAAAGAATATACAACCATGCAGTTCACCTTAAAGCAAAGGAGCACCACTGTCTAGCGTTGCATTTCGTTAGCTCATTCATCCTCGTACCACCTTAACACACATAACGCATTGTGTATACACGTCCTCTGTCAGGTGCGGCTCGGTCCGTTCTCGGTTTCCCCGATGGGTCTCGGAACGTGGGCGTGGGGAAATAAGTTCTTGTGGGGGTACGACAAGGCGATGGACGAGGAGCTTAAGGAGGTATTTGACCTGGTCGTGTCGCGCGGGATTAATATCTTCGACACGGCTGACTCCTACGGAACTGGAGCGCTTAGTGGCCGTAGCGAGCAGCTACTGGGCCAGTTCATTAAAGAGTACCCCGGTAAGGAGTTCTTCCTGGTAAGAAGGATTCTAGCTCTCACTTTTCTCCCGTACTAGACCTCTCTCTTTCTGTATTCCACAGCATCACTCGCGAATCCTCCTGTCATACTCTGTATTTTGTACTGCATGCTTGTTTTTTTTCTATTTCCTGGCTCAATCATGTTTTCTCTTACCGCCGTCATCAACTGACAAGTGTCACATCAACATTTGCATCGTTCCCATTACCCCACCCCATCCCCCGCTAGGCAGCGACAAGTACCGCAGTGACATCCGCATTGCCACCCATTGCGTGCGCTCCCATCCCCTCCCCCTTCTCCCTACCCCACTCCGCGACAGGCAGTGACAAGTACCGCAATGACATCCGCATTGCCACCAAGCTGGCCGCGTATCCCTGGCGCCTCACCCCTGCACAGATGGTGGGCGCCTGCAGGTGCGTGCTGGTACTTGCCAGAAATGGGGGGAGATGGTGGGGAGATGGGGAACAAGGGGGACATGGGAGACTTGAGGGTGGATGGGGGTAGTAGAGGGGGTGGACATCCGCATTGCCACCAAGCTGGCCGCGTATCCCTGGCGCCTCACCCCTGCACAGATGGTGGGCGCCTGCAGGTGCGGCAGTCGGGGGGAGCTTGTGGGAGATGAGGGAGATGGGGTGGGCGGACATGTGGGACATGGGGGGCGTGTGGGACATGGGGGGCATGTGGGACATGAGGGGCATGTGGGACATGGGGGGCGTGTGGGACGCGTGGGACATGGGAGTGGATGGGGGTAGTGGGGGGATTGGACATCCGCATTGCCACCAAGCTGGCCGCGTCTCCGTGGCGCCTCACCCCCAGTCCTCCCCCCCTCACGGAATGTAAGCATCGAGGCACTGGCGGTAGGCCAGCTGCTTGGTCCACAGCCAATCATGCTTCTCTATTAGACATTCTCCTCTCTTCTGTATTCCCTTCGTCCATTGATTTTTCGACTTCCCTTCCATCAGAGCATCACTGGATTGTCTGGGCTAGGAGAAGCTGGCGATAGGCCAGCTGCATTGGTTTAACAGCCAATCATGCTCCTCTATCAAACATTTCCCTCTCTTCTGTATCCCCTTCTTCCCTCAACTGTTAAACCTCCCGTTTATCAGAGCATCACTAGATTGTCTGGGCTAGGAGAAGCTGGCGATAGGCCAGCTGCATTGGTTTAACAGCCAATTGTGCTCCTATCTCAAACGTTTCCCTCCCTTCTGTATCCCCTTCTTCCCTTGGTTTTTCGACTTTCCCTGCATCAGAGCGTCACTGGATCGCCTGGGCTTGGAGAAGCTCGCGATTGGTCAGCTGCACTGGTCTGCTGCCAACTATGCTCCGTTGCAGGAGAGGGTGCTGTGGGATGGACTCGTCGCCATGTACGAGGAGGTGAGATGAAACCGTATGAGGATGTGAGATAAATGAAACCGTACGATGAGGTGGTATGAAACCGTACGAGGAGGTGAAATGAAACTGTACGCACATATGGAGGAGTTACTGTAACCCTTGCAGTGCAAAAAAATGTCTACCTGTTCACAAGTGTTGCATTGAGAAACTGCCAGTATTAACTCGTGTCCTCCACCCCTCCATTTCTCCTCTAAATCCTTTCTTCCCCCACCCCCAACCAGGGTCTGGTGGAGTGTGTGGGGGTGAGCAACTACGGGCCGCAGCAACTCGAGCGAATCTACACATACCTGCAGGAACGGGGAGTGCCCCTAGCTTCGGCACAGGTACGGCACGACTCCCAAATGCATGCCAAAAATGAACATCCCTGTGCACAACCCATTTGGTGGGTTTGTCCTGAACTGACAGCCATAGGTTGTTTCTCGAGGGGACTCCAAAATCGTCTCAGTGCTCACGAGCCATTGGGTTCCTCGAGGGTTCCTTCATCTTCATGTTACTTCAAGCCATATGTGGCAATCATCACTCGCTTTTGAGAATTCTTTGAAGTGACTAACTGCTCACGAACCATTGAGTTCCTTCATGCCATAGCGTGGCAGTCGTCGCCTCGTACTCCTTTCTTCAGTTTTCCTTCATGGAACCAAACATTATGAACCCACGTTAAACACCCATCCATCCATCCACCCACCAGCCCACCCACCCATCCATCCGTCCAACCATCCATCCATCCCGTGCCACCAGGTGCAATTCTCCCTCTTGAGCTCGGGTGAAGAGCAGGAAGATCTGCTGTCCTTCTGTGAGGCCAATGGCATCCGCGTTATAGCATACTCCCCTCTCGCTCTCGGCGTGCTCTCGGGGAAATACAGTGCTGACAACCTGCCGCAAGGCCCAAGGTGCTCACTAAATTCCAACCCATCACGTAGCTATCATACATTCTCTCGCACCTGCCCTCTATTCATCTGTGCACTACTAATCCCTCACATCCCCACAACTCTTTGTCAACCTTGCCCACCCTCTCTCCTGTCTGACACCCCCCACCTTCCTCCCCATTCCCCCACACCTGTTTCTTGTTCTCTATTCAGAGGTATTTTGTTCCAACAACTGCTGCCCGGCCTGGACCCTCTTCTAGGGCTCATGACGGAAATCGGGGAAAAGCGAAACAAAACCCTGCCCCAGGCAAGTCAATTCTGAGACTTATATTATCCCATCTTCGTTTTCTACATGAATTCATACCCCGCAATCCCCTTTCTATCTGTGATTCTGTGCCTTCTTTTGACTTCTCTGCTCTCCATCCCGCCTTTCTGCTCCATCACACACTGTCTCAATCCCACCTATTCTCACTAAACACGTGGAAATCAACCTATGCATGGCAAACAACTGTTGCATGGCCAAGGATGCGGGGTCTGGTCTCCATCCTAGGAGCCTTCTCTACATGGAAACACTTGAATGTGCCTTTTTAATGTGACACATTTATGTGCTCCTCCTGCCCGCCATGTCACCAGGTGGCTATCAACTCGTGCATGGCCAAAGGCACAGTCCCCATCCCAGGAGCCAAGATCGTGGAGCAAGCAGACAAGCAACCTACTTTCTTAAGTTTGTGCATGCTCCTCCTACTCCCCTTGTTTACAGGTGGCTATCAACTGGTGCATGGCCAAGGGGACTGTCCCCATCCCAGGAGCCAAGACCGTGGAGCAAGCAAAGGAGAATCTGGGAGCGCTTGGCTGGCGGCTGTCGTCCAATGAGGTCGCAGCTTTGGATGACGCCGCTGCTGAGGTGCCACGGCCAATGATCCAAAATATCTTCCAAACCAAGTGACGTATAGGTGGGAGTTATTCTTTTGGTTATAGGGCTCAGATACTAGGTTACTGAATTGACTGGTTACCATGATGGGTTACAATATGCTAATAGGTTTTTGAGTCGGCTTGTTGATACTGCTTCAGATGAGCTGCTGCTGAGATGTGTGTAACTGACTGCCTGTGATTTGAAGTACCGTATCTTCCAAACGCACAATAAAACACCATTTTAACAAAAATGGAATGGACACTACATGACCATGGAATGGAATCTCATGTTGTTTATGCTGCGCACAACAGTGTACAGCAAGAATGGCATTGATTTGTTACAAGAATGATTATTGTACATGACATCGGAAGCAACAAATTGCAGCTTCATCAAGAGTTGTCCTGACCTGATTTAACGAGGGAACAGCACATCAAGCATGTCATTGGCTAGCACGTTCTTGGGATCCAGCTTTCGCCGATACTCATTCAACTTGGCCACGGGGAAATTGCGAGCAACGCGCGACACCAGCCACTCACGAGTGGCGGGATCTGAAGGGATCTGTGCGATTGGAGGTGGAGGGAGGAAGCAATTTTGGAAAAGGCAGAAAAGGCGCCAGGGATGATAACACCAGAGAATATGTCAACAGTTTATGGTGGAGAGAAAAGAAGTAGGAGATAAAACGGCAAGAAAACATGGGAAAGGAAGGTTGGGAAAAGTGGGAGTATAAAAGGGAAGGAGAGAATTAACATTTGTCTAACAAACACCCTCCAAACACATCATCTTCATTTGACCTCTTTTACTTGTAACGGTCATACCTCAATCTTTGCCCAGTGCTCATGTGCTCCGTATTTGTCCCAGAGCCTGCGGGCAGTCAAAAACTTGTAGTCGAGGAAATGTTTGGTGATGGCTGCCCGCTGGTCGGGGTCATTGGACGGCAGATACATGATAATGCCAACCTGTATGTGATGGGAAAGCCCGGTACAAATATATAAGAAATCCTGATGAAAAGGGTGATGAGATAATCAGATCAATGAATGCAACTTGGATGGGGATGGGCGTGTTGAAAAAAACAAAAGAGATGGTTTACGATGCCTTACATGCCATTTTAAAATACCCATGAGTGAACATCACACCACATACCAACAAATAAACATCTAACACATTCTTCAGACACCTGCATGCACGAGAGTCAGCAGCATTTCCACATACCCATGAGTAAACATCATCCAGCGCTCTTCCATCTGCCGCTGAACCTGCTGCCGAACCTGCAGCAGCGTTATAAGCACCAGCAGTGGGGCTCATCGGGCTGCGGCTGCCACTGGTCCAGCGCTGCTCTATGGGAGCCGGGGCGGGGATACCCTCTGATTCGATCAACGCCAATAACTCCTCCATGAACGCTATGTCTGCTGTGCTGCTGCTGCTGCCGCTGCTGCTGCTGATGGCGGTGCTGTTGGTGGTGGTGGTGGTGGTGCTGCTGCTGCTGCTGCTGCTGCTGCTGCTGCCTGCCTTGAAGCATATTTCTGATACCCACTGCTGCCCACCACAGTCAAAGCCCAGTATCTGGTCACTCCACCCTTCTCTGCAAGGGAAAAATATTTGAGTTCAATGTGCCTATTTTTGTATTGTGATTAATACCATTACTACGAGACACTAGGCTGGATGCTCAACATACCTCATGTGCATGCATGGACATCACATTCCCACACACACACGCAGGCAGCACGCACACACATGCTCCCTGTTCCCCTTACTAGTGATCAGCCCTTTTAGTTGACTTGAATGCCACCTCGTTAATAGTCCGCACATGGTCCAAATTCAATGAATCTGGCACCTAAGAAACAGATGCACGTCCAAACAAGCATGAATGTTTTTCCCTCCACACGCACACACTCACCTCCCCCTTTCACTCACATTCCAGTGCAGAGCCTCTTCCTGATTGGTCGCCCCAACAAGGTCCAGATTCAAATGATCTAGCGCCCACACACACTCACCTCTCCCCTTCACTCAGCTTCCAGTACAGAGCCTCTGCATGCTTGATCGCCCGCACATGGTCCAGATTCAATGAATCCTCTATTCCATTCCTCCCCACATACATGAACTCACCTCTCCCCTTCACTCAGCTTCCAGTACAACGCCTCGGCCTGGTTGATCGCCCGCACGTGGTCCAGATTCAATGGATCAAGCGCCAGCAGCTCGTCCCTCAGCCTCGTGAACGACAGCTCCCCAAGCTCAGCTTCGGTCAGGAAGCGCTGGCTCGGAGGTGCAGGTTCGACCGAACCTGTGCCGGACCACATGCCAGCAGCTGCCTCGGTGGTAGACGTATGTCCGGGGGAGGGCGAGGAGGATGGGGCAGAGGAGGGGGAGGAGGAAGGTTGGTGGGGTTGGGACCGAGAAGGTTTGGAGCTGGAGGAATGGTGGTGGTGGGAGGGAAGGGAGAGAAATGGAGAAGATGTGTTGGGAAAGATGTTTAGCTTGGAAAGTTTCAGAAATACGACTGAATCATGGCAGAGTGTGATTGAGGTGAACCAGAATGAGAATCAAACCAAGGTGAAAATCATTGTAATCGAACCAGGATGTAACAGAATGCGAACCCAAGAAAGAAACGAATGAAAGAAAGAAACTTGAGTGAAGGCAAATGAGAAATTGTATCGAACCAGGATAGAAAAAAATGCACAAAACAGAACAGAATGCGACTCGAAGGGTTAAAGGAGGTTAGCGATGCTTCTCCTTGCTTGAATCGCCCAACGCAGCAATTGAAGGGGTCCTTCCATTACACGTAGAAAGATGTCAACAACACGTTACCCGAGAACGATCCTGGTGGGGACCTCACCTCACCTTCTCCTTGCAGCAACTGATGCCACGTACAGCGCTCGTATGCGTGCCAGCTTCCCTTACTCAACGCAGGCTCGCCAGCGCTCTTGTCTGCATGTGCCCCGTTCATATAATAAGCCCCTGAGCTCGCATGTGAGCCAACTCGTGCTCATTAGCACATCTTGTTCTGCTTAACTCACCTTCTCCTTGCAGCAACCGATGCGAGGTACAGCGCCCGCACGTGAGCCAGCTTCTCACCCTCGCTCAACGCCGGCCCACTGTCAGGTCCCTTGCCCTGCACTGCTGATCCCGCACTGGTGGCGGTGTTAGCGACAGGGTTGCTCCTGACCACCACGACTGCCTGTGTGTGTGGAATCCACATGTAGCGCACGTGCTGGTAGTCCCGCAACCACTGGCTGGGAAAAGGAAGAGGGCAAAGAGGAAGACAGACATGAGCCGTGAAATTTGAGGCTACTCACTTTGCGCCGGCACTGCCTGTACCCCCACCTTCCCCACCACCCAACCCGCCCGTGAGTCCCACTTCTGAGTCGTAAGTAGTTAAACCCTCTCCCCCCCATTCCCCTTCCCAGTCTCCCTCTTTCAGGGACTCACACGTGATGCCTCTTGATTTCCTCCTTATCAGTAACGAATGTTTCCTCCCTTAGTCTGCGAGCTGGCACTTCCTGCAACACCACCTCCCCCATCCCCACCCACCACTGCTCCGCGCCCGCACCGACCCAACCACCCCCAGCACGCATGTCCATGTGACTCAAGCACCCTTGACTCAAGCGTGCTGGGGTGACTCAAGCACCCTCCATCACCCCACAAGCATCCACCACCACTGCCTACTCACCGGTGATGCCCCTGGATCTCCTCCTTGGGCCTTACAAACGTCTCCTCTCTCGGCCGAGAGCACTGCCTCGGCCGAGGCAGTGTTCAGGCAGTGCTCCGGCCGGCACTGCCTGCAACCCCGCCTCCCCCATCAACCCCACCGCTCCGAGCCCTCCAACTGCTTACTCACCCATGATGCCTCTTAATCTCCTCCTTCATAGTAGCAAACGTCTCCTCCCTCATTCTGTGAGCCGGCCGGCACTGCTTGCAACTCCACCTCCCCCAGCAGCGCCTTAACCACCCCTTGCACGTGTTTCCACCATTCTGAGACAACCATTCCCAACGCACTCACACATGGTGCCTCTTGATCCCCTCCTTGGCAGTAACGAATGCTTCCTCTCTGAGCCTGTGAGCCGGCACTGCTTGCAACTCCACCTCCCCCACCATCCCCAGCATGTGTTTCCATGCAACCCAGCTCCTCCCTTTCACTCCAACTGCTTACTCACCCATGATGCCTCTTGATCTCCTCCTTAGTAGTAACAAACGTTTCCTCCCTTAGTCTGTGAGCCGGCACTGCCTGTAACTCCACCTCCCCCACCACCCCCAGCGCTCCGAGCCCGCACCGAGCCAGGTAAAACAGGTCCGGGTCAGCTTCGGGCGTCAGATGCAGCGTGCCCTTGCCAGGTGTCACGAGCTTAATGGCCACCACCTGCTCGTCCACTGGGGGAATGCCGGCCCCTGTGCCATGTGCTCCCACCTAAGGTGGGGGAAGGTGGGGAAAGGGAGAAAAAGCGGTGCATAAGGGGAAGGGGGAAAGGCGTGTGTCCCTGTCACAAGCAGGTGTCACGAGCTTAATGGCCACGACTTGCTTCTCCACTGGGGGAATGCCGGCCCCTGTGCCGTGTGCTCCCACCTTGGGGGGGGGGGAAGTTGGGGGAAGGGGAGGGGGGGGAATGAAGGTGCTTGTCCCTGTCACGACTAGGTGTCACAAGAAAAAGTCACGAACCTAACAGCCATGTGAGCTCCCCTGAATGAATCCCCCTATCTGCTGCGATGCTCTCGCACAGACGCGTAATTCTGCAGGGTAAGCCCATACGGCCTCAGAGCCTCCACCACCTGCTCAACGCGCGCCCCTGCCTGCACGCGCACCCTCCCTGGACCAACCTGTGCCCGATCCACACCCACATGCAGCACTAGGTCCATCTAGGTCAGGTTGGTTCACCATGCCAGTGCCATGACACGCGGGCAGCACTTATCCAACACCACAGGCTTACCTGTATGAACCTGGCGATCTGTTGCTCCCTGACTGAAGCGTAGTTCTGCAGAGTCAATCCATAGGGTCTCAGTGCCTCCACCACCTGTTCCACGCGCGCCCCTGCCTGCACGCGCACCCTCCCACCAGCGCCCTGCCATTGACCCACATGCAGCACAACACCGCACCCCATCCAGTCCAACCCCTACCGCTCACCTGTATGAACCCGCCGATCTGCTGCTCCCGCACTGAAGCATAGTTCTGCAGCGTCAATCCATGCGGCCTCAGTGCTTCCACCACCTGTTCCACGCGCGCCCCTGCCTGCACGCGCACCCTCCCCGTGGCCTTATCCACATGCAGCACTCGGTCCATTAAGGCCAGATTCACCATGCCGTGGGCGCTCAGAGCAATGCCGTTGGGGGAGATGGCGCTGCCCACAGGGCGGATGGTGCGACCCTCCCTGTGGGCTGCTCGAACTATCCGTTCCAAATCCTGTTGGGAATAGTGGGAGGGAGGGAAGGGACGGAAGAGCAATGCCGTTGGGGGAGATGGCGCTGCCCACAGGGCGGATGGTGCGGCCTTCTGCATGGGCCGACTGCACTAAGCATTTCAAATGCTACTGCGATGGGTGGGTGGGAGGATAGGGCGATGCCTACCACCACACCACTCCAGTTATACACGCTGTAAGACACACACCCCACTGCATATAAGCACACACGCACACATGCATACACGCACACATGCATACACGCACACACATTATTCAAATCACCTGCATGGACTCGGGTCGGTACACCACAGCGGCCCGAACCTCATGCGTACCACTCCAATTTGAAACCAACTCCCCTTCCTCCTCCTCCCCCTCTTCCCCTACTCCTCCTCCTTCCCCTCTCTTCCCTTTCTCCTCTGCCCTTCCCTCTTTGCTGCTCCGCGCCTCCCCCCAAGCTACCCCCACTGCCGCCACCCCAGCAAAAATTGCTCCGCCTGCGCCCGCCCACTCCCCTCCGCGGCGGTTCCACCAGCGCTCTCCCCTCGACCCTCCGCTTTTTCCATTTCCCCCACCTCCCCCCGTTCCCCGCGTGTTGCCCAGAAACTGCGCTCTCCGCGGATCTTCCGCGAAAGCAGACATAGCGGAGTTGTGGAAATGCTGGGGGAATTGCGGAGACGACGAAGGCGGAAGAAGCGGACGCGGGGGAGGAGGAGCGGAAGAGGCGGAAGAGGCGGAAGGATCGGCGCGCGGGGCGGGTGCAAGAGAACATGCTGCGCGGATCGCTGATGACGCGGGGGACGAACGGCGCCTGTGGGGGAACGGGGGTATGGAGTCTGTGGCATAGGCACGAGCAGACGTGTAGTTACAAGTTAATCGGTGAATTGCGGAGTCTGCTTCGCGAGAGCGATGTCGCAACAGCCGCACGGCGGACGCCATAGCTGGCGAATTTTGCACTGATGGCTGGCGAATCCCGCACAGGCTGAACCAGAGGTGAACCGGATTGCCTGATTTATGTGGTTGGTGTTGTGTGAAGGAAACGGCTGCTTGTACGAGCCGTGAAATCATGAAAATTGCCCCGTTCGGTGAATGTTCGGAATACACATGTTTCAGTTTCGGCTTGTCCTGACACCGAACGTGTAACCGTGCTACAGTAATCGATTTTCCAGCGAAAGCATTTCGGACTAATGCGTACCAGTTTCGGCTCGACAATTTCGCGAGCGCTTGCCTAGCAGGATGTGCCTCCGCGGTCAGTTGATTCCCAGATGGGGTGAAACGAGATCGGAAACTCCATCTGACACTTGAGCCGAAACTTGGAACCCACTCTACGCACCTCATGAATTGAGTAACGACCATGCAACAACAAGTTTGCTGGTGATTGCCTGCTTGTTCAACTATCCTAGATTCTGGTGGATCTGCTCTTACCTCCGACTAAGTAGTGCACTGAGATCGGCACTAGGATTCCTATCGCTGGGTCTTTCGCGCCTCTTTAGAAGTATACAAGCCGCGATTGCTACCAGTTTCTTCGTACCTCCCCAATTCTTTCCGTCGACGCGATGTTCTGTGCCTCAGCCTTCTCACCCCGTCAAAGTTAGCTTTCTTGGGCATTTTCTCTCGATCTTGAACGCGTCCGCTATATCAGACTTACAATTTTCTCTCTTACGGTGATCTGCGCTTCTACGTCATTGACCTCAGACCCTAATTCGCAAGGTCTCCTCCTCCTGGCCGCACGTGCTCTCAGCCGCTCCTCACATGGCTCGACCATCCCTCCAGCGCTCTCTCCTCCTCTGCATCTTCGCCGGATTCATCGGCGCCTGCAAACCCATCCTCGCCCGCCTTTCCGGCTCGTGGCGCTCCTTCCCTCTCCTATCCCCACTCACGCTCCTAGACGCCTACGGTGCCGCAGACGCAGTTATTTCCATTGTGTGTTACGGCGGTGTTTTATTTTTAACAGTAGGAATGTGGCATTCTTATATCGAGTCCATGGAGGGGATCTCGTCTCTTGGGGCGACCATGATCAGCAGTTCCTGTTCCATTCTGTGGTCTGGTGCATTAGGAGTGCTCCTGCTAGGGGAGGAGTTAAAGCCTAGGTGGTTTGTGGGTGCATTGTGCATTTGTGCTGGGCTTTGCTTGGTAGCTCTGGCTAATAAGGAGACCGACGAGGAGGAAGAAGAGGAGAGGGCAAAGCAAGAGCAATAGACATTCCTTGCTTCCTTCTATCAAGGGAAGGAAAAATAAGCATGATTGTCTGTTCCTTCAACCTATGACACAAGCATTTTTACATGCCTCAGACATAGGCAGTTTCAATCGAAACTGTATGTTATAACTGTCTCGAGTATTGGTGAGTTATTCCAAGCACACTCTGATTTCTGTAAGCTGTAAAGGGGGTGGCTGTTGCATTCTATTAGCCAAATCCTTGGTTCTCCCAGCTCGCTACTTGTCCAAGTATGATGCTGTATCATAGTGTAGATGCTTGATAAATTATTCTCTATAACGCATATATGTCTTCGACCAATCCATGACAACGGAATTCTCTAGACTAGTAGCGAGAGTCCTACTGATGGCAGGTCTTTCCCATGTTTTTTGGCGATTTGGCCGCTGTGACCTAGACCCCGTTCTCTCCATCAGTTGCCTAAAATCTCACATAGTTTTGGCGAGCTATTCGCCGCCATGGACGTCAAACGCGCAGCCCGCAATTCCGCCGCTGCCGCCGCGAACGCCGCCATAGTTGCCGTCACCTCTGCCCCTGCTTCCCTCGCATCTGCGGCCCCTTCTTCGGCTACCCCGTTCCTGCCTCCCACCATCCTCGCCGCGAATCCCGTCGTGACTCCGTCCACGTCAGCAACCGGAGCCGCGCCGCTCCCCTCGAATTCTGCGCGTCGACTTACGAACAGTTCAGATCGAAGCAAGAGTACAGATCGTAGCAAGGATCGGCATAAGAAAGCATCGGGCGGGAAGAATACGATGATTAGGTTAAATCCGGATACCGCGGACCGATTTTTCCGCCTCCAGCAGTTATTAGGGAGGCGTAAGATCAAACGCGCTTCGGCTTCTAGTGTAGTTAATTGGCTGATCGACTCGTCGAACCACATACTCACAGCTCTGATTGATGGATCGCTGAATATAGCAGACGTTCCCGAGGAGGTTAGAAACGCGGATATCTCCGCGGGAGCTGGTGGAACTGGCGGAGCTGGCGGAGTCGGGGGGGGCAAAACTAGGGGGAACGTTCCGGGTGCAGGCGGGTTTGGGGGAAGCAGGTTTGCGGAGCTGGAAGCTGCGCTGAAGAAGTATAGCGCAGGGGAGCCGCGGGTTCGCGTGGGGGGGCCACGGGTTGGCGCGGGGGAGGCGCAGGTTGGCGCAGCGGAGGCGCGGGCTGGCGCAGCGGGTGAGGCGAGGGTTGGCGCAGCGGAATCGAGGGTTGGTGCGGCGGGGGAGGCACGGGTTGGCGCGGGGAGTGGGGCAGGGGGCGGGGGAGAGCGGAGCATTTCGGGGGAAGCCATGGGGGAAGAGGGGATTGCGGAGCGGAGAAAGACAGCGGCGCAGGGCAGAGGAGGGGGTACTGGGGGGAGACAAGGAGGTGGGGGGAGAGGGGGGCGGAGTGGGGCAGGGGTGGGGGCAACCATAGCGGGAGTGGGAGGGGGAGGGAGAGGCGGAGCTATAGCAGCATCTCCTGTAGCAGCATCGTCTGTAGCAGAAGCAGCTGTAGCAGCGACAGCTGTAGCAGCATCCCCTGTAGCAGCAACGCCTGAAGCAGGATCAGGGACTTTAGGAGAAGGGGATTCTGCAGCAGCAGCAGCAGCAGCAGCAGCAGCAGCAGCCGCAGCAGCCGCAGCGGCAGCGACAGCAGCAGGCAGCGTGTCAGGACCTGTCACAGGAAGACCTGCAGCTGTAGCGGCTACAACCGCGGCTAGAGTGGCAGGCACTGTAGCAAATAGCACTGTAGCAGGAGCAGGTCCTGAAGCAGGGGCTGTAGCAGTGGCTGTAGCAGCAGGAGCAGAGCCAACAGCAGGTGTGCCTGCAGCTTCGGCTGCAGCAGCGAGGGCTGTTGGGGGAATCAGCAAAGCGGGGGCTGTAGCAGGAGGGGCAAAGGCAGGAGTCAGCGTGAGTGGGCCTGCAGCGCCGCCGGCTGTAGCAGAAACTCAGACAGCTGCAGCAGCGAGGGATGCTGGGGGGAGTAGCAAATCAGGGGCTGTAGCGGGAGGGCCAAAGGCAGGAGTCAGCGTGAGTGGGCCTGCAGCAACACTGGCTGTAGCAGGAACCCAGAGAGACTCTGTGGCGGAACTGGGAGCGGCTGTAACGGGTATGGATCCAGCAGTACCTGTTGCAGGAACAGGGACGGCTGTAGCACGACCAGGGGCTGTAGCAGGAACAGGAACGGCTGTAGCACGAGCAGCAGGAACAGGAACGGCCGTAGCACGAACAGGGGCTGTAGCAGGAACAGGAGCGGCTGTAGCACGAGCAGCAGGTGTACAGGCCGGAATAACAGCAGCGAATGGAGCACGAAAAGAGGCTGTTGCAGGAATGGTAGCTGTAGCAGGAACAAGGGCTGCAGCAGGAACAGGGGTTGTAGCAGGAGCAGGGGCTGTAGCAGGGGGTTTATCAGGAGCAGCGAGGTACAGGGTGCAAGGCATCACCCCTTCAGTGTCGTTTATGCAGACCTTCCAACAGCAGCTACAGCCGCCACAGCTACAGCCGCCACAGCTACACACAGTGCAGTTACGGCCGCCACAGGCGCAGCAGTTACCACAGCAGCTGCAGGCAGCGCAACTACAGAAGCAACAGTCGCAACAGGGGATGGTACAACCCCCTCAAGTGCAGCCACAACACTCGCAGCTGCTGCAGCAGCCGCAGTATCAGCAGCAAAAGGCTGCTATTCCTGGCTCGGCTGCTCCTGGTTCGGTTGCTCCTGGTTCAATTGCTCCTGGTTCGGCTGCTCCTGGTTCGGCTGCTCCTGGTTCAGCTGCTCCAGGTTCGGCTGCTCCTGGTTCGGCTACTCCTGCTTCGGTTGCTCCTGGTTTGGCTGCTCCTGGTTCAGCTGCTCCTGGTTCGGCTGCTCCTGGTTCGGCTGCTCCAGGTTCGGCTGCTCCTGGTCCTTCCTCCTATGTGTCTGAATCACAACGCACACACCAGCACGAGCAGCAACAGCCACAGACGCAGCAAAAGCCGCGACAGCAGCAGCAGCAGCCGCAACAGCAGCAACAGCAACAAAAGCAGCAAGAGCAGAGCCTTGGTGAAATAGGCACAGCAAGTGCAGTTCATACGAATCTTGTGCAGAGTTGGCAAAAACCTACAGGGACAGCAGAAGCAGCATTAGACGTAACTGCAACAGAAGCAGCCGCAGCAACAACAACTGTAGCAGCAACGACAGCAGCAACAACAACAACTGACAGAGTAACAGCACCAACAGCAGCACCAACGACAGCAGCAGCAGCTCGAGTAAATGCTGCTGCCAATGCTGCTGGTGATGCTGAGACCTGCGCCACCACTGCTGCTGCTGCGTTTGCTGGGCCGACAGCAGCAGCAGCAGAAGCAGCAGCAGAGGCAGCCGCAGCAGCGGAGTGTGGTGTGGTATCAGAGAGTGCAGTGAGTGACCTGGAAGCTGAAATCCATACCGAAGCTGTGGCCGAGGCTCGGGCCATGGCTACAAGTACGGCTCGGGCTGAAGGGGCGGAAGAAACAGCACAATGTCAGACAAATGGACGTGTACGAGGCATGGTATCAGGAGGCTCGGTGGCAGGAGGCTTGGTGCCAGCAGGTTCGGTGCCGGCAAGTTCGGTGCCGGCAGGTTTGGTGTTGGCTGGTTCGGTGCCAAATGGCTTGGAATCCGGACCTAGCAGTGCCTCGCTGGAGCAGCAACATTTCTCTGACGCTGCTGCTACAGCTGCCACTGCTGCTACAGCTGCTACAGCTGCCACTGCTGCTACAGCTGCTACAGCTGCCACTGCTGCTACAGCTGCTACAGCTGCCACTGCTGCTACAGCTGCTACAGCTGCCACTGCTGCTACAGCTGCTACAGCTGCCACTGCCGCCAATGCTGCTACAGCTACCCCAACGGATGTCACCGCTGCCATGTCTTTAGAGCCACTTGGAACTAGGAATTCACCTGAAGCTGAGAAAACACCTGACATTGACAGATCAGGTGGATTGAAGGGGCTCGGTGTGGATGTGCTCTCAGGTGCTTGTGATGTGTTGAGTTCAGGTGTTGCTTCAGGTGTTCCTTTAGGCACTGCTGAGGCTTCAGTTGCTGGCAGCGCTTCAGGTGCCGCGGAGACTCCAAGGAAAGAGGCTCAGGTGAATGTTCAGGTGAATGCTCAGGCGGATTTTGAGAGCCATGGCCAGGAAATGCCAGAGGAGTTCTCTCAGGTGAGTACGCAGCATGCTCAGGTGGATACTCAGGTGGATGCTCAGGTGGATGCCCAGGTGGGTTCCGAGCATGAACTAGATGTGGAGGGGGACGTGCAGGAGGACCAGGAGCACGTTTCAAGAGCTCATCATCAGGAGCAGAACCAGCAGCAGCAGCAGCAGCAGCAACAGCAACAACAACAGCAGCTCCAGCATCAGCATCAGAATCAGAATCAGAATGAGCAACATGCTTTTCAGGAGCAGATGGGCTATGCAGCACACATGCACCCATACACTGCAGCAGTAGCAGCAGCACCACCTTCCCACATGCCGTACCCATACCACCACCCTCCCACAAGCCATCCAGACTTCCCCCCCTCACACCAACCTTCCTACCACCAACATCCAGCCAATTCTGTTTCATATCCTTCTCATCTTTACCCCCACCATGACCCCTCCTCCCCGCCTCCCCCCTTTCCACCTGCATCCCAGCTCCCTTCTCCCGCACCAGCAACGCCAGCATCAGCAACAGCAGCAGCAGCAGCAGCAGGAACAGGAACAGGAACAGGAACAAGAACATCAACAGCAGCAACAACAGCAGCAGACGCAGCCACAGAAGCAGCAACCTCCACATATCACCCCGCCTCCAACCCATCATATCACCCCACAGCTGCATCACCATATGAGCTCACACTAGCCACATCAGGCTATCTGCATGTCGTTGCATCCCCTCACAGTCCTAGTCACGCTTTCCCCCAGCCAAGCACTCATGATTTCCTGTCCAGTCATTTCCTCCTGCCGCATCGATCCGACCCTGCTTCAGGCCTTCCCCATCACCCCACCTCTCTCCCACTTACCCTCGCCCACCAATCCGCCAACCTCCCTCCCACCCTCCCCCCCGACCAAACCGACGCTCTCCCTCCGTCCCTCACACGTCACACCAGTCAAGAAAATTGGGTGGACGTATCCAATGTCGGAGCAGGAGCAGGAGTGCAACCCGGCATGGAGGAGTTGATTGCGGTGGAAGGAGGTGAACAGGCAGGAGAAAGGGTTGCGGCAGGTCGGGAGGGGAGGGAGGGAGTTGACGGAGAGGAGAGTGGGGTGGACGGTAGTGTTGGAAGGAGGAGGGTCCGGCAAAGGACAGGGGAAGCCTATGATCATCCCAAGACGTTTGAGTATCCTGGGCCTATGGCATACTATAGCAACCAGCATCCATTCAACCATCATCCTCATCACCAGCTGACAGACCCTTCGATTGACGAGCAACGGTATCACCACCACCATCACGCCCCTTACATGCATCCCTATTTGATGCAGCATCAGCTCCATCCGTACGACCCCCACTCCCTCTCTCACTCACTTTCTCACTCTCTCCCTCACACTCACTCTCACCCGCACACCCACCCTCACCCACACTCGCATCCTCACCCTCACAGTCACCCACAAGCTATCCCTCCTCAGCCATTCATCTATCCACACCCTCAACTGGCCTATCAGTCAAGTTCAATGCACAGCCACATGCACACTGCTATCCCTGACCATCACGTGCATACTAACGCACTTCACCATATGGAGGATACGACTGGGCATGCCCACATGCACAGGCACTTGCAAGCTACAGTGGATTCGCACGTGCATGATACTGTGCATGGAATGACTCAATATGAGCACCGTGCGTTACAGGAACATCTGCTAGAGTCAAGTATATACACGCATGAGGAGGCGATTGGAGGGATAGGGTTGGAATTTGGCGGGAGGGAGGGTGGGGAGGAAATTATAGTGGCTATTGATTCGGATGACGAAGAGGAGGTGGTAGTTGCATAGCTGCCATAACACAGCCTGTACAGGAACATCTGTTAGTGTCAAGTATATATGCACATAACATGGGGAGGCGATTGGACGGATAGGGTTGGAGTTTGGTGGGAGGGCGGAGAGGAGATTATAGTGGCAATTGATTCTGATGATGAGGAAGACGTGGTAGCATAGGTGGCATTATTACCTACCAGTTGTTAGAATTATATATATTGTAGCATGCTAAGCACATGTGACTGTACACCAATTGTGGTGTACAGTTGGGTTGGGACTACACCCAACATTGGGTGTAGCCTTGCACTTTGGGGTGCCAATCCACCCAATTGTGGTGGAGCCCCCAAATTGCAACCCTCTTGACTTTTTGGGTACCTCACTTCACAATTGAGGCCACCACAAGCCAAGTGGGCCTAGGGTTGCCACACTTCTTAGAAGTGTGGGCAACCCAACCCACCCCACCTATGGTTACCTCACTTCCCAAAGTGAGGCCAACCCAACCATAGGTTGGGTTCCTCCTTCCCTTCCAAGCTTCTCTTCCCAAACTATGTATGCTAGGTTTGCTCTCTAATCAAATCACTTGTTCAATTCACATCTTTCACATGGTATAGAGCTAGTTGTTCCTCAAACCTTAACTCTCCCTCCCTCAAGTTATTTTTCTATGGGCCCACCCCACAGCCACAATTTCCCTCCTACGCTTAGCTCAACCTAGCATACTCTAGCAAGCGCATCGCCGCCTCCTTCCCTAGCCGTCGCGGCCATCCCGCCGCGCCGCCTCCTCCCCTCGCCGCCGCGGCCATTTCGCCGCCGCCGCCTCCTCCCCTCGCCGCCGCGGCCACTTCCGCCGCCGCCGCCTCCTCCCCTCGCCGTCGTGGCTATTTCGCTGCTGCCGCCTCCTCCCTTCGCCGCCGCGGCTGATTCCGCCGCCGCCGCCTCCTCCCTTCGCCGCCGCGGCCGATTCCGCCGCCGCCGCCTCCTCCCCTCGCCGCCGCGGCCGATTCCGCCGCCGCCGCCTCCTCCCCTCGCCGCCGCGGCCGATTTCGCCGCCGCCGCCTCCTCCCCTCGCCGCCGCGGCCGATTCCGCCGCCGCCGCCTCCTCCCGTCGCCGCCGCGGCCGATTTCGCCGCCGCCGCCTCCTCCCCTCGCCGCCGTGGCCGATTCCGCCGCCGCCGCCTCCTCCCGTCGCCGCCGCGGCCGATTTCGCCGCCGCCGCCTCCTCCCGTCGCCGCCGCGGCCGATTCCGCCGCCGCCGCCTCCCCCCTTCGCCGCCGCGGCTGATTCCGCCGCCGCCGCCTCCTCCCCTCTCCGCCGCGGCCGTTCCGTCGCCGCCGCCTCCTCCCGTCGCCGCCGCGGCCGATTCCGCCGCCGCCGCCTCCTCCCGTCGCCGCCGCGGCCGATTTCGCCGCCGCCGCCTCCTCCCCTCGCCGCCGCGGCCGATTCCGCCGCCGCCACCTCCTCCCCTCTCCGCCGCGGCCGTTCCGTCGCCGCCGCCTCCTCCTCTCGCCGCCGCGGCCACTTTCGCCGCCGCCGCCTCCTCCCGTCGCCGCCGCGGCCAGTTCCGTCGCCGCCGCCTCCTCCTCTCGCCGTCGCGGCCAATTCCGCCGCCGCCGCCTCCTCCCTTCGCCGCCGCGGCCACTTCTGCCGCCGCCGCCTCCTCCTCTCGCCCCCGCGGCCGTTTCTGCCGCCGCCGCCTCCTCCCCTCGTCGTCGCCTCTCTCACACCGTCGCCGCCTGCGCCTCCCGCCGCGGCGCTCACATCCTCCCCCTTCCCCTTCTCCCCTCCCCTCCGGCAGTAGCGGCAGCAGCAGCAGCGGCAGTAGCGGCAGCAGCAGCAGCAGCGGCAGCAGCGGCAGCAGCGGCAGCAGCAACAGCAGCAACAGCAGCAGCAGCAGCAGCCTGAGCAGAGCTCCATCCTCCTGCAGCAGCACCTCCCCCCCCCCCTCCCTCTTGGCCGCCGCGGGTCCACCCGCCGTCGCCCTCCTCCTTGACCGCCGCGGGTCCACCCGCCGCGGGTGCAACCCTAAACCCTGGTCGTCCCCCTCGAGGCCGTCGCGGGTCCACCCGCCGTCGCCCCTCATGGATACCACTCCTCCCCCTCTTCCCCCTCCCATTGACGCCTCCTCCGTCGACAAGCTCCAACTTGCCGCGGACCGCTCGGCGATCAATTGGCACTCCTTCGTCGGGAGCATCCGCCGCGTTCTCCAGGACGCATTCGTCGGACCCTACTGCGTCCTCGACGTCCTCCTCCGCCGCCCGCAAGCTCTCCAGCCCACGGCACCCAGTCACCCCGGCGAACCCCCTCCACCCCCCATTCCCCTTGGCCCTCCTCCTTCTGAACCCACCTTGGAGATCGCCACTACCCCAGCGCTCCAGAGTGCCGCCGACGCCACATTCCTCCATGACCGCCGCGAGTACCTCATCCGCAAGGCAGAGCACGAGGTCGCAGTCCACCATCACGACTTCGCAGTAGCGGAACGCGCCAACCGCCTGGCCCTCCTCGATGAATACAACACGGCCATGGCAGACTACCTCCCCAAGAGTATTGCATGGGCCGCTGCTGACAACCGCGCCTGCACCATCCTCCTCGGCGCACTCCCTGATACCCTCATGCGCCGTTTCCAGGCTCGGGAGATGCGCGCCTCCCTCATCTGGGCCGAGCTCCAGGCAATGTTCGAGCGCCGCGACATCAGCTCTGTCGGCGCCCTGTTCCAGGAGTACTTCTCCATCACCCTCGCTACCTGTGACGGCGCAGTTGACTACGTGGGGCGCATGCAGGAGGTCGCTGACCGCCTTGCTGCACGCCAAGCTGCCCTCCCCGAGCCACTGCAAATCCACCGCCTCCTCTACAACCTCACCCCGGACTACGAGTCCCGCCTCCATGCCTTCACTGAAGCGAACGCCATGGCCGGCCTCAACGACGTGGTCCAATGGATCATCGACACGGAGGTCAAGCTCCGCACCCCCGTTGTCAACCTCACCACCCCTCAGCCCTCCTCCTCCAGCTCCCTCAATGCTACGCAGCCGCGCAACCAGGGTGGTCGCAGCGGTGGCGGTGGAGGCCGTGGAGCGGGTGGTGGTGGTGGAGGTCGTGGCGGTAGTGGTGGTGGTGGCGGTAGCCGTGGTGGCCGTGGTGGCGGTGGTGGTGGTGCTGGAGGACCGTCCGGTGCTAGTGGTGCTGTGACTCGAGGCGCTCGCCCTGGCACTCTCCCCCCATGCACGTATGTGCGCCGCCATGGTCCCCATGCTGGTACCCCTTGCGGCCAAACCAACCATCCCCCCAGCACGTGCTTCAAGGCGCTCGACGACGCCTGGTTTGACCGAGGTAACACTGGCACCCCTCCTCGCTGGAACACTGTCACCCCTCGCCCCTCCCTGGTGGATGTTCAAACCCTCCCATCTTTCCTTCCTGCTCACCTCCGCCTGGTTAGCCCCTCCCAGCCTTCCCAGCTGCAGCAATTCCAGCAGCACCAGCAGCAGCAGCATCAGTACTTCCAGCAGCAGCAGCAGCAGCAGCAGCAGCCGCAGTTTCTCCAGCCGCAGCAGCCGCCGCCGCCGCATTTCTTCCAACCGCCGCCGCAGCAGCAGCAGCAGTTCCTTCCCCCGTACTGGCAGCAGCAGCCACTGACCTTCGGCACGGCGGCTACGGCCGCCCATGCCTCCCTTGCTCCCCCCCCTCCCTGGGGTTCCCTCCCCTCTGCCCCCCCAAGTGTCCCCGACACTTCGGGCAATTTCCTCGGTAATGTCAGTATTGCACCATCCGTCGCTTCCATGTATCCCTCTGCTATCAATGAAACTTCTTTCCAGTACCCCGTGTCACCTCCTCCTCCTTCTTCCCCCACCCTGGACTTCGTCCTTGATAGTGGGGCCACTGAAACCGCACTAAAGGACGCAGGTACTCTCACCCCCCTTCCACTTCCCACTCAGGTTCATGGAGCTGATTCCAGTTTTTCCATCCCTTGCACTCATCTCTCCACCCTCCCCTGCACTGCCTTCCCCTCCGGTAAAGTCACAGGCCTCCAAATCCCCACTCTCCGCAACAACCTCATCTCCCACCGTGAGCTCCAAGGTGTTGGTATCACTGCCATCTACCCTGGTTATGCCAATTACTGTGACCTCTACCAGACTTCCTCTGGCCGCTTCCTCCTCCGCATCCCACTCTGCCCTCGCACTCGCCTCTACACTCTCCGCACACCTCGCCCATCCTACTGCCACGTCACCACCCGTGCTGGTACTTCCACCGGTCCACCCCCCCCTCCTTTACTTCCCCCCTCCCCTCCCCCTCAGGTATCCTCTCCCTCCCCGCCGTCCTCCTCCTCCCCTCCCTCCCCTCCATCACCCCATCTCCCTCCTCCTCCACTACCCTCTCGCACCCTGCCGTTCTCTTACACCACAGACTCGGCCATCCCAACTTCACCGCCCTTCGCACCACAGTCACCTCCCGCCTCCTCCGCAGCCTTCCTCCCGTCTTACCCCCGCTTCCCTCCTTCCCCTCTCCCCCATGCCCTTCATGCATTCACGGCAAGCTCAAGCAGTCACCCCACCACAGTCATCCCACCTTCGCCGCCGCCCCCATCGACCTTGTCCACATGGACCTCTGGGGCCCCTATCCCATCCGCTCCCGCCAGGGGCACCGGTACATGCTCGTCCTCGTTGACGACCACAGCCGGTACTCCACCACCTTCTTTCTTCATACGAAAGACCAGGTGTCGGCAGTGGTCATCAACTGGGCCGAGCTGTGCCGCAATCACTTCAAACGCCCCATTGGCCGCCTTCACTCTGACGGTGGGGGTGAGTTCATCAATAACACTCTCGCCACATACTGCAAAACCTACGGTATCCAACAGACCTCCACTCTTCCCCATTCCCCTCAGCAGAACGGCATTGCCGAGAGCCGCATTCGTGAGATCACCAAGATAGCTCGCTGTCTCATTGCTCATGCCTCCACCCCGCCTTCCCTCTGGAGCTATGCCCTTCTCCACGCCGCCCTTCTCCTTAATCTCCGCTCCCATCCTCAGCACCCTTCCTCCTCCCCCACAGAGCTTTGGTCCAACACCAAACCTGACGCTGCCGGCCTTCGAGTTTGGGGATGCAAGGCCTACGTTCTCATTCCACCCGCCGATCGCTCCCGCGCCGCTGGCAAACTTGCTCCCCGTGCCCTGGAATGTGTCTACCTTGGGCACAACCGCGACTCCCCAGGCTACCTCTTCCTCCACCCTCCTACCAATCGCCTCATCCGCAGCAGCGACGTCGTCTTCGACGAGTCCGTCCCCTATTACTCCACTCCTCTCCCTGATCCTCTCCCTCCTCCTACTCGCCCTCTCGCCTGGACCGACACCGTCCTCCCGCCTCTCCTCCCCCCCGCTCCCCTCCTCCCACCTGTCGCCGCTCCACTCCCGCCTCCCTCCTCTGCCGACGTCTACGACCCCGCTGCACCCGCCTCCCCCGCCCACTCAGCTGCACCCCCTCCCTCCCCTCCCTCCTCCCATCACTCTCCCGCCCTTCCGCAGCAGCAGCAGCAGCCGGGGCAGCAGCAGCAGCCGGGGCAGCAGCAGCAGCAGCAGCCGCAGCAGCAGCAGCCGGAGCAGCAGCAGCAGCAGCAGCAGCAGCAGCAGCCGGAGCAGCAGCAGCAGCCGGGATGGCAGCAGCAGCAGCAGCCGGTGCAGCAGCAACGGCAGCAACAGCAGCAGCAACGGCAGCAGCAACAGCAGCAGCGGCCTCAGCAGGGGCAGCAACCCCATCGCCCGCAGCGACAGCGCGCCACCTCCTGCTCCTCCCCCTTTCTCCTTCCCCGCATGCACACCCGATCTCTGGATCCCATCCTTGGGACCCCTCCTCCTCCTTCCCTGCAACTCCTTGAGGACTCTCACGAGGAGTTCCTCGCCATCCAGCAGCACACTCCGTTCATAGCCACCCTCTTTCTTGACTTCCTTGGCTTCCCCGTCCTCGGCGCCACCTCCACCCCCACCATCTTCACTCCCTCCACTTTCCAAGAGGCCATCACATGCCCTGACGCGGACAAGTGGATAGCAGCAATCTTCCAGGAGTGCGAGGCGTTTATCCGCAACGACTCCTTCGTCGACGTTCCCCTCCCTGACGGTGCCAATCTTGTCGAGGGCAAGTGGGTCTTTCGGGTGAAGCAACTGCCGGACGAGGAACCGGTCTACAAGGCCCGCTACTGCGCCAAGGGCTTTACACAGACACATGGGGAGGATTTTTGGTTCACTTACGCCCCCACCGCCAAACCCCCCACCCTTCGCGCAACCCTCGACGTTGGTGCGCGTGATAACATGGAGATCGACTGCATGGACGTCTCCAATGCGTTCCTGCAGGGCGACCTGCATGAGCGCATTTTCCTCCGCCGGCCACCTGGGTTCCACGCAGCCTTCCCTGAGAACACTGTCTGGCAGCTGCGTCGCCCTGTCTACGGCTTGAAGCAGGCGCCGCGCGAGTGGCATGCAAAGCTGGCTGCCACCTTAGGGTCACTCGGCTTCTCTCCCTCCCACTCCGACGCCAGCCTCTTCATCCGCTCCTCCCCTCGCCGCTTCTTCATCCTGGTGTACGTGGATGACATGATCCTGCTCTCTGACACGAAGGCCGACATGGAGCAGATGAAGCAGTCCCTGCAGCAGCGTCTCAAGTGCAAAGATCTTGGAGCCCTCACCCACTACCTGGGCATGGCTATCACTCGTGACCGCTCTGCTCGCACCATCACCCTCTCCCAGTCCCATTACATCGGCCAGATCTTGGAGAAGTTCGACATGGCGCAGGCCAAGCCCGTCTCCACCCCCCTCCCCTTCGGCCACCAACTCGCCCCACCCACCTCTCCCACCTCCTCCCCTCACCCCTATGCCGAGCTCGTTGGGTCCCTGATGTACGCGATGATGTGCACCCGCCCCGACCTCGCCTATCCCATCAGCGTGCTCGCTCGCTTCGTCGGCACCGGCCGCCACAGTGAGGAGCACTGGAAGGCGGCCAAGCGGGTCCTCCGCTACCTTCGAGGGACCAAGGACCTTGCCCTCACCCTTGGCGGTTCTTCCCCTCCTCTCCTCTCGGGCTTCAGCGACTCCTCCTGGGCCGACACGCAGCCGGACCGCCGCTCCTCCCAGGGCTACGGCTTCACCCTTGGCAGCGGCCTCATCAGCTGGCGCTCCACCCGCTCCTCCGCCATCTCTCTCTCCACCTGCGAGGCCGAGCTCTACGCCGGCACCATGGCCGCTCAGGAGTCCCGCTGGCTCTGCTTCCTCCTTGCCGAGCTCGGCGCTCCCCAGACATGCCCCACTCTCTGGTGCGACAATGCCAGCACCATCCATCTCACTGAGGACCCTGTCTACCATGCCCGCTCCAAGCACATCGAGCTCCGCTATTTCTTCATTCGCGAGCTTGTCCAGAAGGGTCTCATTGCCGTTCGCAAAATTGCGACCGAGGCCAACCTGGCCGACATTTTTACCAAGGCCCTCCTTCGCCCTGCGCACTCCGCTTTCCTCCGCCTCATCAACCTCGCTCGCCCGGGCGCTCCTTGATTCAGGGGTTGTTCTCTTCTTGTGTTAGCATGCTAAGGGGTTGTGTTAGAATTATATATATTGTAGCATGCTAAGCACATGTGACTGTACACCAATTGTGGTGTACAGTTGGGTTGGGACTACACCCAACATTGGGTGTAGCCTTGCACTTTGGGGTGCCAATCCACCCAATTGTGGTGGAGCCCCCAAATTGCAACCCTCTTGACTTTTTGGGTACCTCACTTCACAATTGAGGCCACCACAAGCCAAGTGGGCCTAGGGTTGCCACACTTCTTAGAAGTGTGGGCAACCCAACCCACCCCACCTATGGTTACCTCACTTCCCAAAGTGAGGCCAACCCAACCATAGGTTGGGTTCCTCCTTCCCTTCCAAGCTTCTCTTCCCAAACTATGTATGCTAGGTTTGCTCTCTAATCAAATCACTTGTTCAATTCACATCTTCCACACCAGTACATGCGATTATCGGTACATGGTGGGAGGGGAGAGTGAAGAGTGTTAAAAGAACTAGGCAAGAATGGTGCATTGAATGGAAGAATTGGGTACAAGTAGCAAACCCTAGTTGGGGTTGTACCCCATATTGGCTACCCCACTACAGCCTACAAACATAATACAGTTTAACACACCCCCATAGGCAAAGTGGGGGAGAACAAAGGGTCACAAGACCAGTCCAGCAAAGCAAAGCAAAGCCCAGGGTGGATCACAACGTCACCACACTCCGAGCACAAGCAAAGGCCACAAGGCCAGTTCACATGCAGTGCTAGATATAGAACAGGACAAGCAGCAAGATATATATAAAGTACAGTACAAAGAAAGTCAAGCAGTAAGCAAATGAGGAAAAGTGGACACAAGGCCTAAAGAAGTACAGTGCCGCTGATGATCACTAGACGGGAGCGCCTTGGTGAAGATATCAGCAGTGTTGGCCTTCGAGTCCACGTACACAAGCCGAAGCTGACCGCGCTGCTGAAGCTCTCGAGCAAGAAAGTAGCGAAGAGCAATGTGCTTCATCCTGTGCTCCAGTCTGTGCTCCTGACACAAGGCAAGGGCCGCCTTGTTGTCACCGTACAGAACTGGAGGAGAACTAGGCCGCTCTCCCAAGTCAGTCAGCAGGTAGGTGAGCCAGCGTAACTCCTGTGCAGCCATGGCTGTGGCGTAGATCTCAGCCTCACAACTAGAGCCGAGAACAGAAGAAGAGCGGGTGGACCGCCACGAGACAGAACCAGAGCCAAGGCTGAAGGTGTAACCCTGTGACGACCGCTGCGTAGCCAGGTCGTCCACCCAAGAAGCGTCCGAGTGACCAGTGAGGACAACTCTGTCGCGTCCTCCAAGCACCAGCCCCATGCCTGATGTACTGCACAAGTAACGCAGCACCCTCTTAGCAGCCTCCCAGTGCTCTCGCCTGTGTCTCCCAGGCGCAACGTAACGAGCAAGGATGCTAAGTGGGTACGCGAGGTCAGGTCGCGTGCAAGTCATCAGGTACATGAGGCAGCCTACAAGCTCTGGGTACGGGCCACTCGGCTCTACGGACTCGTCCGAAGGTGGAGCTGAGAGCGAGTGGCTGGTAGCCAGAGGTGTGGCCTGTGGTGAGGAGAACTGGAAGCCGAAGCGCTGAAGGACCTGCTGCACCATGTGTGACTGAGTCAGGGTGATGGTGCGGCGAGCTCTGTCCCGGGTGATCTGCAAGCCAAGGTAGCTACGCAGTTCACCCAGGTCAGTGCAGGTGTGTCTCTTCTGCAGCTCCGACTTCACACGAGCGAGTGCCTCAGTGTCAGCAGTAGCAAAGACCAAGTCGTCGACGTACACGAGAATGTAGAACGGCGGTAGCGACGTGTCTGTGCGCAGAAACAGCGACGGGTCAGCAGTAGACGGCGCGAACCCAAGAGCTGCAAGTGTAGTCCTCAGTGTGTCGTGCCACTCACGTGGCGCCTGGCGGAGACCGTAGACTGGCCGGCGGAGGCTCCACTGGGTACCAGGAGGAAACGACCCAGTAAAGCCAGGTGGGCGGCGCAGCCAGATCTCCTCGTGCAGGCTGCCCTGCAGGAACGCTGTGCTGAAGTCAAGAGAGTGAAGCTCGTAGTCACGCTGAGCAGCAACGTGTAGCAGCACCCGAAGAGTGGTCATCTTCGGGGTGGGGGAGAAGGTCTGGAAGAAGTCAACTCCCTGACGCTGACTGAAGCCTCTAGCAACGTAACGAGCCTTGAAGACAGGTGGAGAACCTGGCGGCCGCTTCACCCTGAAAATCCACATGCCATCGACGATGTTCGCCCCAGGAGGGGGAACCTCGTCGACGTAGGTGCCTGTGGACTTCCAGGATGCCATCTCTGCGTCCATGGCTGTCCGCCACTGAGAGGAGTAGGGACCCGAGATCGCCTCTGCGTAAGTGCGCGGAGTGGGGATGTCTAGTGCATCCGGGTCTCCCTCAGGGGCAAGCAACCAGGCCACGAGATGAGGTACAGCAGCCGCAAGAGAGTCAAAGTCCTCCTGCCTGTCCTCAAGGACGTCCGTGCCAAGAGCACACTCACCCCCGACGGACGGAGGACAGACAGACTCAGACCCGGCAACAAGACTGGCGGCGTAGTCTAGACGACAGGCAGCAGCAAAGTCGACAAGCTCAGCGACCAGGGCAGACGCAGCAGCAGACTCAAACGACGGGTCAGTGACAACAGTGGCGAGAAGACGCGTAACAGTAGGGTGGGCAGCACGAACACTGTCAGACTCAGGGTCGGGAACGTCAGGAAGAGAAGACGCAGGAGGAGACGGTAGGGGGACACGCTGTGGACCAGTGGAAGGACGAAGGGCCATAATATGCGTGCCAGGAACAGGAGGAGGACGCGGACGCGCGACACGACGACCAGTGGGACCAGTGCGCGCAGTGCGAGCAGCGCGAGCAGCGCGAACAGGCGAGGCAGGACGAGACGCAGGCTCACGACGCTCCGTAAGCGAGTCCGGCTGTGCAGTATAAGGCACAGGAGCAGGGAGGGGGGAGCCAGGCTGAAGGGGAAGGCCAGTGGAAGACGGGAGGGAAAGAACCTGGCGAAGAACCGTGTCAGGCGGCGGCAAAGCCGACGGCGACGGAGGAGCGAAGAACAGGCGCGACGGCGGAGCTCCGCCAGCACCTCCAGCACCCGGAGCACCAGAAGCACCTGGACCAGCACCCTCCGCCACAGCACCCCCCGAGTCGGCGACGTCAGCACCAGAGGCCCCAGCAGCGACAATCCTCCCCTCGCCAGCACCTCCAGAACCAGCAGGACCACCGTGTCCAGAACCGTCAGCTCCAGCGTCGTCAGCTCCAGCAGCTCCAGTACCGCCAGGAAGAGCACCCCCAGACGCAGCAACCCCAGGCTCCGTAGGCTCAGCAGCAGCACCCCCAGGCCCAGTACCCTCAGGCGCAGTACCCCCAGGCTCAGCACCCCCAGACTCCGTACACGCAGGCTCAGCACCCCCAGTCGTAGCACCCCCAGGCTCAGCACCCCCAGGCGCCGAACTCCCAGGCACAGTACCCTCAGCTCCAGTACCCGCAGTCCCAGCACTCCCAGGCCCAGCACCCGCAGGCTCAGCACCCCCAGGCTCAGCACTCCCAGCAGCACCACCTGCAGCAGCACCTGAGTCACCTGTGACCTCGACAGGCTCAGCGACGGGAGGAGGATCTACCTGAGAGACACCTGAAGGAGCAGGACCCTGAGGGGGAAGGGGGTCTACCGGAGGGGGACCAGGAGCAAGGAAAAGCGGCGGGGGAGGGAGGGGGGCAGTGCGGTAGGGGAAGAGACGGTAAAAAGGGACCGACTCGTCAAAGGTGACGTCCTGAGAGGCGAAGACCCGGCGCGAGGTGGGGTGGTAAAACTGCCAGCCCGGCGCGTCAGGAACAAAGCCAAGGAAGACACAGGGAAGTGTGCGGGAGGAGAGCTTGTCCGCGGATGTATCGCGGACAAGGGCACGAGCACCCCACACCCGGAAGCGCGACGCATCGCCAACCTCCCCCGTCCAACGCAGTGTGGGCGAGGTCTCCGGCAAGGAGACACGGGGCCAGAGGTTGAGCTGATGCGCGGCGTACCGGACAGCAAACGGCCACAGAAAATGGGGAGCCGCCGCGTGGACCAAGGAGGTACGAGCGACCTCCATGACCAGGCCAATGCGGCGCTCAGCAACCCCATTCTGCTGTGGGGAGTCCGGAAGCGTGAAGGTCTGCTCGATGCCCTCCGCCTGACAGAAGGTCCTCAAGAGATCGGAGGAAAACTCACCACCTCTGTCAGAGTGCAGACGCAGGATAGGAAGATCCGTCCGGAAACGGCGGCGGAGCTGGAGACGAACTGTGCAGATCCAAGGGATCAGAACAGCAGGGACCTCACCCTTGGTGCGCAAGGGGAAGACCGTGGTGTAACGCGAGTAGTCGTCGACAACCAGCAAAAAGTACCGCTCACCGCCCTGGCCACGAACGCGGGCAGGGCCCCACACGTCCAGGTGGAGGGTCTGCAGAGGAGCCTCTGTCGGGGGGAACGAGGAGGAGTGAGGAGCGGCGCGCTGCCGCCCCTCGACGCAAGGAAGGCAAGGCGGCGCAGGCGAGGCAGGGAGGGGAGGGAGGGACCTGGGAAGACCAGACACAAGGCTGCGACGGTGCATGCCACGGAGGCGTGGCAAGGAGGGGTGACAAGCCCTTTTATCCCAGTGGTTAGTGACTGGGATTCTGACACAGCCTACAAACATAATACAGTTTAACAAAGAGGAGATGATAGTGGCCACCGAAACATGACACTGTAGGTAAATGTAGTGTTATGAAGGCGTGCGTTCTTCACTGCAAGCAATCTCATTCAATCCTTGGATCCCAGTATCACTGTGACATGACACGAGGATTCGGTATGTCATAGTGGAAGGAACGTGTATCATGTGGCTCGTAACAAAGCAGATCCATAATCCCAGTCAAATGAATTGGCAATGAACCCTTACTAACAATTGCCAGTATTGCCGTTCTATTCCTACGCAATGGTGGCAGCTGGTAGAGGTGGGATG